AGGACACTGAAGGGCTAAGGAGAGTTACTGTGAGAGACTCCACACTCAGACAGCTGGTGATTCAAATGAAATAGACCAATTCCTTGAAAAAACATATAACATATTAACACTCTCTCTAGGAGAAATAGGTAGACTTTTAAAAATAAAAATAGATATAGGGTTACTTCCAAAAAAGAAAGTGCCAGAGTCAGATGGTTTCACTGCCGAATTTTATCAGCCATTTGAAGAAAAAAATAACACCAATTCTCCACAAACTCTTCCTGTAAATAGAGGAAAAGCAAACAATTCCCAATTCTTTTATGAGGCCAGCATTATCTTAATATCAAAGCCACACAAATACATTACAACAAATTGAAGAGTACAATCAAAAACCCTTAACAAACCCTTTGATTCTCACAATCTAAAAACCTTAACAATTTAGCAAACCAAGTCTAACGATATGTAAAAATGAATAAATATATCAAGGCTAAGTGGAGTCTATTCACAAATGCAAGGCTGGTTCAGTATTTGTTAATAATGTAATTAATCATACTGACATGATAGTTAAAAAAACTCCTATGACCATAGCAATGAATGCAGGAAAAAAATTCGCCAGAATTCAACACCTAGATATTTCATTTTATATATATATGTGTGAGTGTGTGTGGGGTGTGTGTATGTGTGTGTGTTTCTATTTTAGAAGTTCTATTTGGTTTTTACCCAAATCTAACTATTTAGTTTTGACTATCTACAGGTTCTTGCTCATATTTTTAATTTCATCATTTTTTATTAAAATGGAATACACTTATTCATCTTATATTTTCACCTAAAAATTTTAATATCTTGTCTTTGAGGGAGAACCTAATTTTTCAGTAGTTTATTAAAGGTTTTTCTTTTTTTTCTTTCTGCTTTGTTGTTGCTGTTTGTTTGTTTTTGTTTTTTTTGTTTGAGACAGGGTCTCACTGGCCTTCAATGCACTGTGTAATCCAGGCTGGCCTCAAAACTCACAGCGAACCTCTTGCCTCAACTTCCAGAGTGCTGGGATTACAGATGTTTACCACCATGCCCAACATTGAAGAGTCTTTTTTCCCCTTGCTTTTTCCTTTGTGTTTTGTAACCATAAATTTCAGGTTCATAATAAGCTTCTCTTAAGGAAATGTTTGGATTGCTAAAGCAGAATATGTAGGAAGCCCTTACTCTGGATTGCTTCTGCACCTGGAACCATATGCAAGCAAACTGAAACTTAGCTTGGAGACTTTCAATGTAATGATCTAGCATTTAGTCACGGTCAGTCAATCACAGACACAATTAGCTGGTTGGGGTCTATAACTTGGGACCTCCTGAGTATTGTAAATAGTCACCTGTAGCCCATCAGGCAGCCTCTTCACTTTGCATCCATGTTCAGCCCACAGGAGCTCACTGCTCATCCTGCTAGAGGAAGGCCATGACTTCAGCTCTACTGCAAAACTGAAAAGAGATTCATGAATCATTTTTTCCTCAAGTAAACACTTAAATTTTATTCCATGTGAAGTTTTTATTTTTAACAGTTGTAATCCATCTAATTTTATAAGCAACCTGTAGCGATAAATTAGAGAGCAAATCAGAAAACAAGTCCCTGACTTATCTTTAGTCAGAACATGTCAAAAATGAAATGCTTCACCTTTGGAAGTACTTCCTGATCTCAGAATGAGATAAACACAGTTTGTGGATTACTTCTTTGTTCCTTAATAACCCTGTACATGCTGCTATTGTAACTTGATTCTGCTCCTTTCCCACTAATCTCTGAGCTTCTTCCTTTTTTTTTTTTATTGATTTTTTGGTACAGGGAATCAAACTTGGGACCTTGCACTTGTAAGGCAGGTGCCCGAACTACTGAGCTAAATCCTCAGCCCTCTCTGAGCATCTTAAAAGGAAAAAATAGTGCCTCATTTATCTCTCAGTATCCCCACCTCATGGCATTTTCCCAGCACAGAGTAAGTGCGGATACATGCTTAATTTTAGCATTTAAATTTTACTATCATAAAATAACTCCTTTAGAAATCTGCTTCATAAATAAAAGACCTACATGAAGCTGAGAATACCACAGGAACAAAGATTCTACTATATCTATTTCCCAGGTGACAGAGTTCTTTGCTCTTTAGTATTTCACAACCTAGAAATGTATTCTAGATTTAAAAAAACAGAAACACATAAGTCAATGATAAACTAATTCCCATATGAAGAATTTTAACTTACAGGCAAATGATCAGTCCAGGGCTTTGCTGCAGTAATTACTGTACCAGAAGCTGGCTGTCTCCTAGTCTGTTTTGCAAGCTAATTATACAGCCTCCTCTAGCGATGGCACTGGGAGCCCATAAAATACAGTGGAAGATACTGATGAATCATCTAGGCAGTGATTCCTCAGCATAAATTTCAGAGTCTTCTTAGCCCTTTTAATATTTCCCTTGATTTTTGCAAATATCTTTAAAATAGATATACTTATTTCTAGAAATACAAAGTCCCCACATAGCTATAGTTGGTCACTCAATGAGATTTCTCTGATGAAGGACTGTGACTGACTCTATGGTCCCGAATGAGAGGAGTTGTACAAAATGCTCCTGCTGGTGCTACTGACTTGAGTCAGGCCACTGGGCTTGTTCTCAGACGTGACATCTGCAGAAGGATCTTGCCAGGTGAACACCAAGTGTGCACACACAATTCAGCCCCCCGGACACATCACATGAAGTTCAACACCACAGTAGACATTTTAAAGTATTGTTTTATTCACTTTTTATTTTTTGAATAATGGAGAAGTGAGCTGAATTCTGCAGTGTGATTCATTCCCTTAAACGATCAAAAATAGAGAATATTTGATTTAAGTAATGCAATGTAAGTAATGTAAATTGTTAAAGTGACCATTCAGTAATTAGTGCAGCAAATGGAAAACTTTATGCCAGCAAGATGACCCACGGGTCTTGAAGAGAGGCTGAATGTAGGTCCTGGCTCCCCATTACCCCACCATGCACAGTGGGAAGGGCACAGGCACAGGAAGAGAAGCTACGGTTGACAACCTGGAAAGAGGCTTTCAAGATGCGTGTGACCAGGTCGGGGATTTAGCTCAGTGGTTTCGCCGCCTGCTGCTCAAGCGCAAGGACCCGAGTTCGATCCCTGGTACCAAAAACCAAAACAAAAAAAAGATGTGTGTGACTTGGGGAAAGTTACTCCTAAGATTCAGTTTGTCAATTTTAAATCAGAGACAATAATTTCTATCAGACAAAATTATGTTGAAGAAAACAGAGGTAAAGTATAAAATATCTGGTGCACAGCCGACTTTCAGTAACTAACAGTTCCCTCCTCTTCAGTGCAGGGTGATCTGGGAATGAGCGGCTTTGAGTCATGGATTGTGTACAGCATAACTGTTTCTCATAAAACTTAATAGAATCACAATGGAAAATAATGTGCAATATTCTATTTTTTCTAAAACTGGAAACATAAAACTATATGTGTCTTCTCATATTAAATTAAACAGTTTCAAGAGTGTTGTCCTATAAAAGGATATTGTAATAAAAAGGGAAGAAGGAAAATTCATGATGTATTTTATTTTATTTTTATTTTTTTATTTTTAAGTTCTTGTATTGGTACATTTTAGGTATACGATACATTTACATTTATCATTGGGTGCTTGTACCTGAACATGATGTATCTTGATTATTATTTTTTCTCCATAACCTGTGTGGCCTTCACCCACTCCACCCTTCCTTATTTACATAGACATAAATTCCTTTTTTTCCTCATAATTTTTCCTTTCCCCTTCCCCTCCCTTCACCCCTTCATCTTTGGACCTTTTTTCTTATTTCAAATTATCAATTATTCATTTTAAAACTTATTTAAACTTTCAGTTTCTCACACTAGAGAAACTATTCGGTATTTACACGTGTGTCCTATTTATTTAACTTAAGAGTATGGCCTTGATATGCATCCATTTAGCTATAAATGACTCTAGTTTCTCATTCTATATGGCTGAGTAGTACTCCATTTCATAAAAGCCACATATTCTTTATCCAGTTTCTAGTTGATAGGCACTTAGGCTGTTTCCAAGCTTTAGCTGTTACAAACTGTGCTGCTATAAACATGGGTGGACATATATCGCTGTGGTATGATTCTCTTAATTCTTTTGGAAAGATACCCAGCAGGGGGATAGCTGGGTCAAATGGGACTCTAGTCCTAGTTCTTTGAGGTATCTCCATATGGATTTCCACAGTGGTTGCACCAGCCTTCACTCCCACCAGCAATGGAGAAGGGTTCCTT